AATTATTTTAGAAAAAAAATTTTGACACAAATCCTGGACAGGCTATTTTTCAAATAAACCATCCATTATTTTTTCCTTCCTTTAATACTTGTCATGATAACAAATTATCACCTCTAGTTGGTTTAAGGCCTAACATAAAATCTAAAGCTACATTTGTAAATCTTTACCTCTATTCTACTTTTCTCATCTAGCATAGATATTAATTGCATTAAAATTTGAGTATTTTTATGTTAAAATTTAGTGTAATTTTATTTATATTTTGACTTGTTCTTTAGGATTTTTAGTAAAATTACTCTTAAATGTATATTTATCTCATGTGTAGGTGCAAATATTGGAATTGAGAAATTTTGGATAATTTTGATACATTTTTTTGAAGATTTTTGGTACAATTTATACAATTGGCCTAAATTAATATTAATAGGTAAAATTGACATTTAAGAAGTTTTCTTGATTTTTCTTACATTATTTTTGTATTATTTTCACAGGTTTTTTTTAGTAAAATGCAAGCTAATTATATTCATAAAGTGTTTGAATTTTTTGCAAAAAAATAACAAAAAAATAAATTAAAGACACAAGGATGCTTGAATGTGCATGGTGGATGGGAGGAGCACCAAAGTTATTAGGCATACAAGCTGGTTCAAATGCACCAAGAAGAGTGGCTGATGTGGCAACTTAAAGGGTTATAATTGATTTTTATTTTGACTTTATGACTCATCAAATACATGTGAAGTCAACTTGCAAACTTGTTGAAGACGTGAGGAGCCAAACAGCAAAACATCAATGCACTAGTCATGAAACGCAAAAGAGAGAAGGCTTTAAGTGCCCAACCAATTAGAGATTTTTTTAGATATTTTAAGACCTAAAACTTCTCTTCTCTGTCTATAAATAAAAGGGTGAAGGGTGGTTATAGGAGGAGAGTTAGTTTATGATTTAAACTTTTGTTTTTTTACTTTTCAATATATTTTTTTACACTTTACATTTTCTTTTTTGCAAAACATTATTTTTCAGCATTTTCCCTTCGAATTTCATTGCAATTTTATTGTTTCTTAAGTATTTTTTAGTATTTTTTCAAAATCATTTAATAAAATTTTCATTTGAATTCACTTTTAAGCTTAAATTTATTGATTTTTAATGGATATGCAAATCTACTTTTGAATTTGCCAGTTTTGACCTACATGTAGTTTTTAGATGATATCTTTATAAAATCTTACTTGTTTTTGTTCAATCTTTTTTTATAAATTCCTAAGTCATAGAGTTACAACATAGTTTAAATTCAGTTTTAAACTCACACCATAACCTTCTAGATCAAGCTTGAAATTTTTGACAAAATACAAGTGATAATGCAGTTTCAGTTTTAAGTAATCAGTTTCGCATAGATTCTTTTTCCATTTTGGTGATTTGTTTGCATTGTTTGCATTTTTAGATTTTGAGTTCTATGAGTTACCTTGTTTAATCTAATTTTGTGCAATTTATTTCAGATTTTTAAGTGCTATTTGGTTAATTTTTGTTGAACATATATTGTTTTTCTAGATTTTGCACTATTTTTTAAATTAAGTTTGTTGAGCTAATTTTTTTTTTGTTGATTCATGCTATTTTCTTATTGATTTAGGTAATTAACTCATAGATCTAAGTTGTTCTAGGTTAGATAAAGTTCTTTTCCAGCATATAATAACACATTGAATTTTTTCTCTTGAATTTTCTTGCTTTTGCAATAGAGGTCAGAGTTGGATTTAGTTTCTATGTATTGTTTGATATTTTTCTGCATACTTTCTACTGCAATTTTAATTTTTCATTTAGTTTTTTATTTTCTCATTCAAATTTTAGATTAGATGTAGTTTTAATTGTGCTATGTAAGAGTTTCAACTGTGTGGTATAAAAATTCATTTACAACTTGTGTTTAACTATTCTTGGTTTGTAAATTTTGTTTGGTTGACTTTTCTTTTACAATGTAGTTTTTCATTATTCTTTAAATCATGTTTCATATAGGCTGCTTAGATGACGTTTTAAATCCAAATCAATTTAGGAAGTTTTGCATGTTAAGTTTGATTGCTTTGCACATTAGTTTTCGAGTATAGGTTGTAAAAGTCCATTTTCCTTTCTTATTCATGCATAGGCAATTGTATTTCATGTTACAAACTTGATTTAGTAATTTTGATTTTTATATTCTCAGGTCATTCATGTACATACAATTTATGTTGACTTTCATTCATGCAATTTCTTGTAGTTATCTATTGTCCTTGCATTTCATAATTAATTAAAAAATTTTCATTTGCATTTTATTCATTGTTTTTAATGTTTTAATTTTTTTTTACTTGGTTTTAGTTGATTACTTGTATAATTTTTAGTAGAATTTCAATTGATTTTGTTATTTGGCATATTAGTTTATTTTATTTGTTAATTTTACCTTAGTTAATTTTTCATTTTCTCATGAATATTCTTTGATTGAGCCAACTTTAAAAGGGTATGGAGATAAAAGGTACTTAATTTAGGAACCTTTTTAGCTAATCCTCATGGGATTGACATCTTAACCTTTCGATCACTATTATTACTTATATGGCCTATGCACTTGCAGAGTTTCTCCAATCAAATTTTTAGCACCGAGTCACTAACTTACCTTGTTTTTATTTTCTTAAGTTGTATACAACTAACTTTCTTTATGTAGGTTTTTATTTAGGATATTTTTTTTTTCACATGTGAGATTTTAATACTTAGGAATAGCTGAACATTAAATGAATCATGCACGACCTTATTATTTTGATCACTACCTAGGACCATGGCTTAATGAGAAAGATAATTCCAAAAAAGAGTCGGCCCTTGAAGATTTGATCAAAAAATTTGACTTTGTAGAAAAATCTAGTAAAGGCCATTAAAACTAAAAGTGATCCCAAGTCTAGTTTAGTCTATAACTTTCCAAGCCAAAATGAAAATGGTAAAGTGCATGGTGGAGTTTAACATATAGATCGATGTCTATATGACCAACACTTTCAATCTTACACAAACACTTACACTATTTTAAGCACATGTGGGATACTAGTTCGGAACATTTCTTTAATTCACCACTTCAGAACACTTCGACTTACCCTACTTAGTATTCACTTCCATAACACCTTTCACTACCCTAATATTCTTCGCCATCACTGTAATTTCCTTAAGTGTCATATTATGTTCCACCATAGCAACATTTTTCACCATTACAACATCATTCATCTTCATATCACTTTTCATACACACCATATTCACCACCACATCCTCTACAAGAAAAGAAACCATCCCTTAAGGAGATGCTCATTGAATTTTTCAAATATATTGTAAGGAGTTCTATAATATATTGTAAGCTTTGACTTCTTCCATGATTTTTAGAGTGAGGAAAAAGGCATCATTTTGCGCCTTGATTAGGCATTTTCTTCTTACTGATACTTTGTTATTTTTTTTAATTTTTTGAATGGCACTCATTTGAATAACTCAGTGTGATTTCTGATAAATGATTTACTGTTTGTTATAGTTTTGACTTTTGATAACCTTGTAATGCTACATTGTTCACCTTTGCAGAACAATTGCTTATGGTCCTTTCTTCCTATTAATCACAATGGTCTTAATCACAAACAGGTGTTGATCATGAACATTGAGTCAACACCATTGCTATTCAAAGAGGTCTGATAGTTTTGTTTCTTACTCCTGATATGACAGTCTTTTGTCTTCTCACCTCTGTTACATGTTCTGTTTGATCTTTATTGCAACTTTTGTTGTTGTTACTTGTTTCCCCACATTTTTTTATTATGTGGATGGGCATCTGAAAATGCAAATTTGGATGCGATTTCCGTATGTGTCTTAATTTATCATGTTATTATCCTTTAGAAGGTTTAATAATGAAAACAAGTAGATATAGTTTAGCAATTATCTAGATCTTGGAAGTGCTTCATCCTGTTGATCACAAAAGTGCTTTAGTAATCTGAGCTTGAACTTTGGGAATCATTGCTGAAGTCAGATTTACATGTGGATCTTGGAAATAAAAGATCAGAAAAAAAAATATTACCTGCTTCTTTTTAATATCTTATATACTTTGAGGAAGGAATGGATGCATTAGCTGTGATCATGTCGTTTTTAAACTTTGTTGATCACATAAAACTTTTAGCATTAGAATCACAATGATAATGAGTATGGGTGCATTTGCTATGGCCAAGTCAATGTGCAGGATAGTCTGTCCTTAAAACTTCTAGTTTCTAAATTGGGCCTTTCTTTGAATTTTGAACTTCTAGTCTTTTTTATGAAACTTACCGCTTCTATTGCCAAAATTTTCTTCTTGGTAGCAGGCAGTTGCTATTAAGAAGCAGCAGCTTCTTGTTGATCCTACTCACAGGCAGTCAACAGCATGTTCGGCATAAAATTGATGGGTTTTTTTTTAATTTTATTTTTAACGTTCAGATTTAAAACTGATTATGTGGTTTGATGAATGATTGTGTGCACTTGTCTCAAGTCGTTTCATTTTGGAATTAATTGGTTCACAATTATTACGGCAATAGGCAGTTAGCCAAATTTCCAATACAGTTACTTCATAACGGAGATTTTCAAAATTCCTGTATAGATAATTCATCAGAAAATTTTATTTGTTAATCGATTAATCAAAATTAATTATATTAGTTGATTAATTCAATTTTAATCCAAATATGTACATCCATACTTAAGTCACGCCTCAATAAAAAAATAAAAAATTTGGTAGATTATTTATTCTTTTTATGTATGTATATATGTATTGAAATTTTTAATCACATTTTAACCTTCAATTCTTATTTATTTAATTCACTTAAAAGAACCGTTACCAAACCCATAACATAATGAATGTGCATATCATCTGAACTGTATTAATATATTATTATTTAATACATGTGATTCAATAAAAATAAGTAAAAACATAAGGAATGCTTGTGCGCTGCTTAATTCGGGTAAACTACTTTAAAACAAAAAATATTCGGAGTAATTAGATTGTAAAGTAAATTTTATTTGTGTTTCTCAAATGTCAAGCTCCACCCATTTACACAGCCTCCAATCGCCGAACACAAGAACAACTGAACCCACGGGGTAATAAAGAAATCTCCGGAGGAAGGAAAATCGAAGACAAAAATGAAAAGCCTACAGGTGTCAAAAGGATCACACATCTTATGCAACGAACTCCTGTCTACTTAGCAAAACTCCTAAAAACGCAAAAAGTGCCGGCGGGACCAGCAAAATGCGCGTATTCTCCAATCTCTCCATCTCTTTCCTCCCATCCTGCTCCCACTCTTTCTCTCTCTCCGATACCATCGGCCCCTAAACACTTGACTCATCCACTTTCCTCCCTCTTTCCCTCTTTCCCTCTTCTCGACGGATTCCCCAAAACCCTTTCTTTGATTACCTTTCCTTTCATCCCTCTCTCTCCCTCTCTCCTCTTTTAAATCCTCTTCCTCATTTCCTGTTCTTTCACCTTCTCTCCTACAAATCCAACCACATTTCTCTTCCTCTTTGTCTCTTGAAAAATAAATGGCGTCTTCACTCTCAACAACGGGCTCCGCTTCCTTCTCTTCCGTCGCCAAAACCACCGTTACCTTACCTCAATCTACTAACCTTCCTCACACCAAGGCCTCCTTTCGCTTCTCTTCGAGGCCAAACCTCCGATTCTTCTCCAAGGTAACAAAGTTATTCTAAATTTTCTCTGTTTCTCATTATATTTTTTAGTATTAATTTTAGGTGCTTATTATCTGTTAATGCCAAATACGAGAGTAGGAAGAGACAATATATTTATTCTTTGAATCTTTGATTAGAAATTTTCTTTTTTCTTTTTTTTTTTTTGGTTGCTATGTTTAAGTTTGATAGAAGTAGAGTGTAAATTTGTGACCTCCATTGTTTGATAAATTTTATGCTTGAATCCATGTGTTTTTGCTGATAAAATTAGTAGCAAAGAGAAGAGAAGATGATTGTTTATCTTTGCACTTAATTTTGCTGGCTTTTAGAAATGTGTTTAATGGTGTTTTATTTGCATCATGGCCTCTTATTTTAGATTTTTGTTGCTATTATTGGATATGAAAATAATTTTGATGAATTACAAATTAGATAATTTTAACTGTTGTGAAATTGAAAATTGTTTATATGTGTGTGGCATTTTAGCTATCTCCTTTTTTTAAGCCAAATGTGAATTTCTTTCTGCAATTTTTGGTAAATTAAGAGCAAAAAAGAAAAATATGGAATACTTGTTTCTCTTCGAGTTTGTAATTAAAAAGGTTTTTCTTCTTTTTTTGCTTCATCATTTCTCTTTCATTGTTCTGCGTTAGAAACAAAAAGTAGTTTATCAAATAATCTAGGAATAGATAGGAAGTAGGGGTGGAAAGCAAAAAAAATAGTTCCTTTTTCTGATTTTGTAAATGTTCGTACCACAATAAGTAATAGCTTGCCATGTCACAGCATGGTCTGACCTTTCTGTCATCATGCTGTGAAAGAGTCAAACACTTGAATGTTTGATGCCTATGCTTTCTTTTGCACGAGTCTTTAAGCAACTTGCTTGCTGAAACAATATGTTCTGGTGCTAGAAGTTTAGTTTTCTTATGCTCTGTTTAATTGCACTGCAGCACTAGTGCGATGCAGTTGCAATGAAAAGATGTGCCTGTTTCAACTTTTGTAGCCAAATGATACTTTGGTGTAATTGAAAAATGGCCGGTCATCAACAGACTAATTTTGGTCCAGTTGGTAACTGGCCAATGGGTTTTTTTTTTTTTTTTTTTTTTATCCTTTAAAATGTACTAGTATATAAAAAATATCTTTACAATTTTTTATTTTTTATATTAAAAAGTGTAAAATTAATTTGTTAATTTAACATAATAAATAAATTTTATTTTTTAATACATTAATAAATAATTCAAATAAAATTTATTGTTTATTAATAAAATTTATTATTTATTAACAAATTTTATATAATAAATAAATTTTATATTATATATCACTTTCAATCTAATGTCCTTAATGGTAAATTTTTCTTCTCAATATATTTCACCTCACTACTATCATAGCTTTTGCATCTAAACACGTATCCCACCATTGATTTTAATCTCACCGCTATTGTCACCAATCTCACCTCCACCGCTGTTTTCAATCTCACGGAGCCAATCTCACCACCCATCCTAATGATCCTTAGTGTTCTCTCATATATCATCTGTTAAAATTACGAACTTGTTAGTTTCTTTTTCTTTCTCCTTTTTCTTTTTTTGGATAATTCAACTTGTTAGTTTCAGTTATAGTAAATTGTAATTTAAGCTGAATACATTTTGTAAGAGTCTATGTGAAACTAAATACAGATTGGAAACCAGTTATGTGTGTTGTAGTTAAAGGAATTGTTTATGCTAGGAAAGTGACCATTTACAAATATGCAACTGGTTTGATGCTTTAGATACTTGGACATTTTACAAAATCAAGCTCAGTATGTAACTTCACTTTAAGCACTAAGGTATTATGTGCGGAATTTCCAAAGTACTAAAACCAAAGCTTTACTAGGCAAAAGTTTATTCTAAGGCATCGGAGCTTTATTGGTTTAATTGGATTAAGAATGATTATGGCAAAATTTTGTTCCAGCAGCTTGGAAACCAGCTCTGTTGCCTTCTTTGTTGTAGCTGCTACTAGTTTTAAAAGAATTTTTAATGTTTTTCATCTTGAAAGTTTGACCTAAATCTGCATAATTTAGGGTTTAGAGTTTAGGAAGTGCTAAATCCCATTACAAGGATTAATTGCATGATAAACTATTTTAGAATACCATGCAGTAATAGAAATTACTGATAAAGAGTATAATGTTCTTTAGGTGCTACTGAGAATCAAAAACAATTATCGAACTTGTTCAGGGAATGGAAATGCCTTTTAGAATCAATATGCTATTTATTGGGATGCTATTTAGCGGAACAATCCCAAATTCAGTAGTCCAGTTAGAGATCGTTAGTAAAAAGCAATTGCTATGTATTATGTAATCAATTTTTGACATCTAAATCTAATAAATGTTTTAGCCCTTTTCATTATTAAAACCCATTTGTTCAGATTCATTACAGAATTCATACTATCATCTATTATACCAGATAACTTGTGCTTCTATTTATCTTATATTATGCACAGTAATCAAGAAGTATACCAACTGCTGTTCATTTTATGATCTATTGTACAAATAATTACATGTATGATTTCTCTTTAAGAAAGTAGTTAACTTTTTGTATCAAGAAAGAGTTAAGTTATTATTGAATTTATATGTCACCATTTAGATTATAAATGTAACTCCATTAGCTTAGTTGACTAAACTTAAGCTGGTCTTTTTCTGAACACTCTACATGTACTTGCCTAGATTTTTTGTGGTAGAAAACACAAACATGTTTGAAATCTGTCTTCTGCATGAGAAGTAACTGAAAATATAATGCACTTGATAGATGAGGTCAAAATGATTAAAGAAAGTGCAGTAAACTATTCACCTTTTATATGTTTTAATAGATTGTGAGCAAGAGATGCATGAACAATAATTTTCAAATTTTAAGTTAAAAAGATACATTGATTTAAGAAGTTAATAGCAGCAAAAAATAAAATTGAATAAAAATTATTGTGTCTTCATTTGGAGCGAAGCCAAAAGACAGTGGGGATGGTTATAAATTATCGTCTAGGGTTGTTATAGTTATTACTTGATGAAACGTATATGGATGGTCCATTTTCAATATAAAGTCATACTTAAGAAAAAAGAAACAAGGAAAACTATAATTTTAATCACAGAGATCAGATATCATTTGCATAATCACTGAGAAATCTTCATAGGATAGTTTTGTTTGGAGGACTATTCTGAAACATTTAGAATAAACTGTCACCCTGTTGACATGATGACAGTACCATACATCATGGTGGAAAGTTAAATGAAATACTTTAGGATGCTTTTAATGCTTTCAAGAATGCAATCGAGTTCACTCCGTAATGGTAATTTCATGCAATTCCATGATCGGAAAATGTGAAGACAAAGCATGCAGTTAGATTATGGTTGACTAATGTGGTTGCTAGATTCTTAGTTGCTTGCAAAATAAGTTGTGGCCCAGGTATTCATTAAGTCTAAAAGATATTCTTGTCTTTCCTTTCTCACTCTAAATTAATGGAGTTATTTGGAAATAAGCAGTTGGTTTTTCTAGTCTCATTATGCATTATGGATGTCTTACGTGCAATATAATATTGAAAGTGAGGGGCTCATCATTTATTGAAACTTGACATCTTTCTCTTTGTACAGACCTAAAACATTTTGCTTTCTTGATGAATTCACTTATTCATATGGAGATACTAAAAAAAAATGGCTGAAAGTTTAAGTTTTTCAGTCAAGTGCATTTTAACTCCTGTTTTTCTATGTTGGATTAAAAGTTTTGCTGGTCTCTACACTGCAGTGTTTGCAGCCTGGTCTGAATTGTTCTGCTGTGGTGAAAGCCCAATTGGATGACGTAAGCTTATTTAAAATGATTTTGGTTAGAGGATCTGTTTTCAATTTTTTTTTCCTTCCTGGACATGCTTTTGGGATCATGTGTTGCCTTCAAGGTTCCTGTAGATGGATCATCAAATGCTTCTTCTACACCTCCAGCCAAATCAGGGGAACCAACAGCAGAACCAAAGGATGCAAAGTCATCAAGTGATATATCTCCTCCAGCTTTGGCCACAGAAGAATCAATCTCGGAGTTCCTTAATCAAGTTTCAAGTCTAGTCAAGTATGCTATTCTTTGATATGTCTTTGATATGTTTTATGGTGTTTTTCATTTCTGTAAGTTTGCTCAATTTGATGATTTTTATTTGTTTTCTTCTAGGCTAGTTGATTCAAGAGATATTGTGGAGTTGCAGCTGAAACAACTTGACTGTGAACTGATAATCCGGAAAAAGGAGGCCTTGCCCCAACCATCATCTGCAGCTCCAGTTATTATGATGCAGTCACCCTCTCTACCACCTGTAGTGCCTCTAACCCCAATTGCCCCGGCCCCTGCACCTTCTGGTCAAGCACCTGCTGCCACAACTCCAGCTGCTCCCAGGTCATCCAAATCATCACTTCCACCTCTTAAATGTCCAATGGCTGGTACTTTCTACAGAAGTCCGGGTCCCAGTGAACCGCCATTTGTGAAGGTGAATATTCCATACATGTTGGTTTTATTGGATTTTAATGGCACTGATATTATATTTATCCTGCAGTTGATTCTCTTTGGCTCTTTGTACTTACGCAAAAGGCTTTCTCTGTAGGTTGGAGACAAAGTGCAGAAGGGTCAGGTCTTATGCATTATTGAGGCAATGAAGCTGATGAACGAGATAGAAGTAAGTTCTTATTCTTCCTGCCTAGAAAAGATTTTAGTTATACAAATATTACTGTTTCCTGACATTTTTCCCATTATTATGTTAGAACTTTTATATTCCCAATATAGAATACAGTTGATTAATTTAAGTCTGAACTCTGAACCATGGATCTAAAGAGAGTTTAAGATAAAACCTAAAGCTCTTAGATCCTTGAAATGTCTTTTAATTTACGTATCGAGTGTTCCTACGAAAGTGGACAGGAATTAGATTACAAATTTGTTTGTGAAGGTTACTGGCCTATGATTTGGCATATAAGTTGTTAGGACTGCTTTATATAAGATGTTGGACAAAAGTCCTGTTCCCTTTCTCAAAAAAAATCCATGCCTCTGCTGCTTGGAGCATTGTGAAGGTGAGGAGTAAGGAATCAGAGCTCATGTGTGCTCTATTTTATAGAAAAAAATTAGTTAAATATTTTCTTTAGATTAATATTAACTGTGGCTTATGTTGCTAACAAATTAGCTGGCTGTGGCACTGAAAGGTTTCTCGTGCATTTGGATGGAAAGATAATGAGTATGTAGGGAGAATGAGAAGAGAATATCAACCAGATTGCTTAGTTAATACAATCTAGTTCATCTCCATGCAAATTCATTTTGTCAAATAATAATGTCTAGAAAAGAAAGCCTTAGTAGTTTTATTCGTAACTATAAAATTTTTCGATGGAATTGTCTTCTCAACCTTCAGCTCCTAGAGAATTGACATTCATCAACATATAAGTTTATTAATAATAAAATTGACCTTACAACTGAATACCTAACCATTTTGATATGTCGAAGATATGTAAAATTTTCTTTCGGGCTCAAATTGTCATTATTAGACTGTCTATTCTACATATTAGAAGGCCTGGATTTCACTTTGGCCTAATGTTGATGTTGGAACTCCTAGTTTTGGACTTTTTCAATTGATTTTTCATTTCTTGGTTCAAAATGATGTCAGATTTAGCTGCTATACCTGGCCCCTCCTATCTTTTGCCTTCCTGTTTAACTAAGTGGCCAGCCTATCACTTAGGTCTCCCCTAGCCTGCATTTGAGCTGGTCTCAAAGTGCCTATACAAAATTGTACACGATAAAGCCCTTAACCAAATGGAATTAAGAAAAAGATTTCATGTAGCCAACCCCAATAAATCCGGGATTATGGCTTAGTTGAGTTATCCCACACCACAAGGGATCCAGCTTCACCCTCAATAATCACAAAAGCTGATGCAATCTTATATAAACTGGTAGAAGGATGCTTTAATGAATTTGGTCATAAGCACAGTTTAGATGCAATCTGACGAAAAATGATTTTTAATAGTTGGAATAAAGAGGGGGTGAAAGAAATGAAATTTAAATATGAGACAAGAGTATGCTTTAACATAGGCAGAATGGAAGGAAAAGATTCATTTAGGATTTTTGAATGTGTAAGGCACAAAGGTCCTATAAACGAACTGAAACTTGAGGCAAGCTTCACTGGGACTTTGTGGTTATCAGGGTATGATACTCTGCTGTAGGTTTCATTTAGATGGTCAGTTATGTTTCCATTTTTTTGATTGGCTATGCTCCTTGATTACACTTTAACCTTAATGAGACTTGATGTTTATGTTCCTATCAAAGGTAAAATGTTCCAAACCATATTTATGAACATGTTATAATTTTTATAATGTATGGAAGTGATTGAGGTTTACTGCATACGTTTTCCTGTTCTCTTTTGTATCAGCTATTGGCTTAAACTAGTTGGTTAATTGAAAATGATCCAGCAAAATTTAGGCAAATTGAGATTAAGCTAGTTGAAGGCATAGGATCGAGATTAATTTTTCCTATTGGAGGACTCTCAGCATCTAACCTGAAAGCTGCATTTTGATTTGCTTGGACAATGAGTGATTACAGCCCGTAATTACAGTACTTGCAGTAGTAGACCGTAATATGTTATACAGCCCCTTAATCAAGACACTGTTTTGTTGCATCCACATTTTATTGAAATTGTCAAACTGTCTCTTATGGGACTGACTGTAACTGAAAATAATTATTTCTTTAGGCTGATCAATCGGGAACCATACTTGAGATCCTTGTAGAAGATGGCAAAGCAGTCAGTGTTGACATGGTAAGTATTCTTAGCTACCTTGATTCCGAATAATATATATATATATATAAATGTATGTATATTGAATTGTAAATTTGAATTATATTTGATATATATTATTTTACTGTTGCTCTGACATACTTGTTTGTTATCTTTACAGCCTCTGTTCGTGATTGAACCTTGAAACTCAGACTCGAGTAGGCAAAACCAAACGATGGAGTAAAAACTAAGGAGGGCAGGTTGAGTATTTGTTTCTGGTAACGTTTTGAGATGCGGCATTGTTTTATTTGTGAGGTGTTTTGGCTTGAGTTGGTAGAGAGATGCCAATGACTTGTTATCATAAAGAAATATTTACTTCTGATGGGAATTTACTTATTACTGCAATTGGGAATAGTAGATTTTCACTTTTTTTTCCCTCACATTTTCAAAATGTGGATTCATTAGTTGGTCTAATAAATTAAGGGCAGCTTCTTCTGTAGTCTGGTCGTGCTTATATAATTCTAGTTTTATTCCTATAGTAATATTTCATGCTTGACATGGGTTGGCTTGAGGTTCAGTGCAGTTTATTTCCATGACTAGAAACCGTATGTTCGGTGAGAAACTGCAGTAAAAATGTAGAATCTCTGGACTAACCAGAGGCTTTGGCCGAATTCAGGTTCATTGCTGTCAGCCCTAGGCCAAATTAACTGTAATTCTACAATCCATGATTTTAGAATTTCCCATTCGTTAGCATAATTAACTGATTTTACAGTGACTGAATCAGGGATGAAAGTGAAACTTTTATAGTGACTGAATCAAACTGATTTTCAAGATATCTGGCATAAATTGTTACGCTTTGGGTCAATCTGCACCTCAGAGGTTCAAGACGCATTCTTATCAAACGCAGGTTCCACGAAATGTTGGTTATGTTATAGAACAACAACAGAAACCAATCTCTAAATAAAAGCAACTTTACAAAAGGCCCTGCTATGAACATGACTACAATTAAAAATATATAATGACTACGGTTAAAACATGAGTCAAGTTGGAATGGCTACCTTCTAAAAACAACAGAAATTATAAAATCCAGCAGCATGAAAGAAAAAGAAAAGAATCTCGAGAAGGGAGGAAGAGAACCGATAGTTCAATTTATATGTTTATGCATCATAAACAAAATAGGATTTATTTTATTGTTCTCATTTTTATTTACTCTAACCAAATCATAAAATAAATAACGATAATCCATAAAGTAGAAAAACAACTAATAATCACATAGAAAACCAAAACTTTTTGTTTCTTTTCATTTCTTTTTCCTTTTCTGTTTACTCTGTTTATTATTATATTATGCAATGGAAGGTTATATAGGGATAGGATACTATAAGTTTTTAACATCAAATTTGAGACTCAACTGAAAGTTAAAACAATATAATTTTATAAAAAAAAAATATTTATCATTGGTGACAAGTCTAAATCCTTTTAGAGGAATTTTTTATATTGATCACTTGTGAAAATTACTTTACTTATAACACCATCTTTTAATATTTTAAACTTCTTGTCATCTAATATTATATAGTAGTGTTAGGATGTGTTTGATATATAAAATTATGATAAGATAAGATAAAATGATCTTATGAATAAAATTAGATTGAATAATATTATCTTATTTTATGTTTGATGTGTATAAGAATTATGATAATATAATTTATTTATTGATAAATTATCTTTTCTCAAAATTTATATAATTTAAATTATTGATATAATTTTCGAATATATAATAAGACATGTAAGTTCAATATTATAGATTAAAAATAATCCTTCACTTTGAAATGATTAAATAATCTTATACCAAGAGTATATTAATGTCCATGTAATCCTATATTTTTCTTTAGATACAAACTAAACTTAATATAAGATAATTATCGTCTTATCCTATCTATTATCTTATACATCAAATATATCTTATCATAATTTAAACACCAAATACTAACTTTTTATATTACATAATATAATTTCATATTAATGAATTACTTAATTCAGTTTTTTTTATTTTTTTAATTTTATATAATCTAATGATATTTATTTTTAAAAAATTATTTTTACAAAAATCTAAACTAAATTTGAATTATATAAGATATATCCAAAAATCACAAATTCACAAAAATGTAATCTTAAATAACTTAATTACATTTAATAAATTCAAACTTGATTTAACATATTTGTTCAAAATTATTTGATTATTATTAATAAATTGATCTTAAAAAAAATTAAATTCAAATAATTTAAATATCAAATCTAACCAATTGAAATTGAAAAAGATTGAAATTGACTTGAACTAAAATGACTTGATCTCAACTCAACTCAGTACGCCTAATTGACATTTCCAATAGGTAGAAAATTTTTTGGCCAAAAAAAAAAAACCAATTGAGTAATTTTTTTATAAATTGGTAGTAATTTGAAGATAAATAATTACCGCAACAAATTCTGGTTTATACTAATCTTCCAAAAAAAAGGGTTCCCAAAAATTTCAAACTCTTTTTGCAACCGCCTAGTTACTTTGGCGAGTGGATTTCCATTCTATCATACGTGTCTTAACGCTCCTATTAAGCGCGTGGCCAAACATCTTCGCCCTAAAAAAAACACTGTTCTGGTTTTCCATTCTCTTTCCCTTTTCTTCAACCTTAAACCAATCGAAGCCTCATCAACAAAATAAAAAAATCAATCGAAAAAAAAAAAGAAACCAAAGTTTCTTGTTGGGGAAAAATAGAGAGAAAGCATGGGAATTTCAATTTTCTCTCTCTTTCCCACGCTTTCCCTAATTTTGTTTCTCCTTTCCCTCAATTTTCCATTCACCCAATCATCACCTTCTTCAATCTACGACCACTTGGAACGCAACGGCCTCCCTATGGGCCTCCTCCCAAAGGGCATAACCGACTTTTCAATCGACCCCGACACTCAGCGTTTCCAAGTGAATCTAACCCAACCCTGCAACGCCAAATTCGAGAACCAGCTCCACTACGATTTCAACATCTCCGGATTCTTATCTTTCGGGAAGATCTTGAATTTATCCGGTGTGTCGCAGCAGGAGCTGTTCCTATGGTTCCCCGTCAATAGCATACGTGTCGATGATCCGAGCTCCGGTTTGATCAACTTTGATGTTGGCGTCGTTGATAAACAGTTCTCCTTGTCCTTGTTTGAGAGCCCCCGTGATTGCACCGCCGTTGATCCTAGTGACTCCCACTCGAATTCCCAGGTTGCTTCTGCATAAAGCTTCATCTTGATCACTTTTAGATTATATGTTTTTTGCTTTGCTTTGCTTTTCTTTTTTTAATGTACAATTCAGAGGTTAGGGACTGCAAAAATTCAAGTTTTCTTAATTCTGAATTTACTTTTCGCTGAAAGGGTTTGCTTATAATTAGTGTGAGTGCATATTTGATTAAAAAATTTAAAAGAAAATAGTTAAATTGTAAGACATGTACAAAAGTAATTCTGGCATATACAAATAAAATCATATATATTGATATTTACAAAAACTTTAATTATCTAAAATTGCCATTTTCAGTTGTATATGTTGCATTTACTTAATTCTTTTTACTTGTTTAGCCGTGTGCCTCTTGAATATCTAGTTACTATTATGTGGTTTCCTCAAGTTTGACCTACAATCTTTCCTTTTGGTTATCTTAGAAAATTTTGTTCTTAGACAAAATTGAAGTATGATCATTCCTTTTTCCTTTGAAAATGTTTTTAGGTCTGAGCTTGACAATATCCTAATCCCCAAGGTTTTACAAGCCTGTGCAATTTTTTTTTTATTATTATTATTATTATTTCTTTTTTTGTTTTTGAAAAATTGTGTTTTCAACAAATCTTATGATGGTATAGATTTTAGTCCTTAGCAGCTAGTGTTGTTAAATTCCTTGATATTACTGTAGTTCCTTGTTTAATGGATTTCGATTTGTGAGCATAAGGATTTCTTGTGTCGATATTATTTTCATGGTTAGCTGATGCAAGGCACTATAATAATATGCTATTTATTTTCATAACCTTGCTTACTTTTTTCTCAGGGGGTAAGCTTTTTATACCTATAATAGATTCTAGGTGGTTTGAATCAAGATTATTGTTTTTGATTTCATCAAAATGGTAACTAGCTGTGATGTTTGAGAGACAATAATGAACACATATGCTATTATTTTGTCGCTGCATATATCCAGCATTTGATGTGTGAGAATTTCATAGCTAAAATTTCTGGAATTCAATATTCTAAAATATACATTCACATACACACAGATACAGATTAGGAAGAGAGATGAAGGTGCTTTGGAGTTATATGTGTAAATGGCATCACAACCTGCAGTATAGTTTGATAATTTCCTAATTGAATGTTTGATTTGCTCTCTCAAGTTAAGATGGTGATCAAATTGTCTTTGTGCCTATATGTTCCTCTCCTATAATATCTCTGTAATTTCAGAAGCCATCTAAGTCACTTGGTATTGGAACTGTTGAAGAGCATATGCTAAGGGATGTATCATAGAATCTGGAGGCAAAGATATTGTATTCAAGTTTCAATATTATTCATGCACCTGTGAGTTTCTCTTCTTGCTTAAAGATGCTCTTCAAGAGCATGTTTTGATGGGTCATAGGCTTCCATTTGTGTGTTTGCTTGCTGTGCTGTACAACTATTCCAGCTAATATCTCTGCCATTGCAAGAATAACAGTTTTTGTAAAGCAATGTGGTAGAGGTGAAGGACTTGAGTCTTGTATTGGTGAATTGATGTTGATGCTGGAGCATTTGTTCAGGTCTGGTTTCTCTTAATTAATTTTTAGAAATTGCTGTTGTTTATTGTCATGAAATCACTAGACATACAAAAGTATGAGTGTCGTGTTGTGTTTCTGTAAATGGAGAGAACTCTTTGTTTTGCACCTTGTTCTCGTATCATTCAGTTAAATGTATGATGTTTAAAAGAAAACATGCTGCAAGTCATATTGTTATCCTCTCTTTTCTTATGTGCCATAATGTTTCTTGCTTCTTTCTAAATATTGTACCTTTGAAGCAAGGTGCAATATCTTTTAAAAATATTCCCATCACATTCGAGTGCCATACCGTTGTAGTGTCAAACTTTTATGGCCAGAGCTGTGTAAGGGTTCAGGATTCAGAAACTGTTTCCTGAGTTCCTTGCTAGAAAGTAGTGCTGAGAGAATTGTTCAAAGTCGTTATACGTTTTAAGCGTATCCAATCCTAGCACAATATCTTTGTTACCCGTTGTTAGCAGAGAGGCAAAAGGGTTCAGGATTAGATGAGTTCCTTGCTAGAAAAGTAGTGCGGATAGAACTGTTCTGTTCCAAGGAATGGCTTGTTCAAGATTAAATATTCTCATCAAACGTTAACTTTTTTTTTTTTTTTTGAGGGAAGAAAGGTTAAGATACCTTCTTCTTATGAGAAAAGAGAGGATAAAATTGCTTAACAAATAACAAGAGTTTGTCTCTTTGTTTTAAAAAAAAAAAAAAAAAAAAAAAAACAGAAGAGTTTGACTCTTCATTGACTGTCCAGCAGAATTTGTATATTTTTACCGGCTTGCAAATGTAACGCTACAAGCAAACCCTGCAATGGTAATGCTTGCCGCGTCAGATCTTCAGGTGGTCCGAATGAAATTCTGGATAGAAATTTCGTAATTCAGATTGCTTCTTTTGTTAATAATAATTAAAAGAAGGTTATATCCAGAAGGGTAACTCAATTCAGATTTAACTTGGTTTAAATCTTACGGCAAGCATTTTCGGAATAAAATCTAAAATTTTTGTCTTTAAGATCTGAAAAGGGATTTAGGTATGCTAAGCTTGAAGGTATCTTTGACCTTGTTTAAAAAAAATTTTTTGCTCAAGTTATTTGGAAAGGGATGGAAATTTCAAAAAAAAAAAAAAATCGTTTCAATTTACAGAACGGATCTGAAAGGACCAGATTTATATAGATGGTTTTAAGGATGATCCTTTCTTCAGTAGTTAGCACAGGCCTGGCCAAGGCGGCCAAGTCCAAGTATAGTACTCTATAAAGTGAAAACTATTTAAGTATAGCTGGGATTTTGTTTGGATTCGTGTCGATTATCTAAATTTGTTTGAGAATTGTAAAAATTTGTACGCAAATCTCAAATTTACTAAAATTAAGAAGAATTAATTGATGGAATTCACAAATCTATTTCCATTATAGTTAACTTCACATGCTATTAATAGAAATTTTTCATAGGTTTTATTTATGTGGCCCACCTTTTTTAAAAAGATAATTTATGGTTTAATAAATATTGTAAGTTAAAAACCCAATTGATGAATAAAAAAGTGTGCGTATGAAACGAAAGGAGAGAGAGAGAGAGAGAGAGAGAGAGAGAGAGATTTCATAAAATTTTTATTTTATATAATTTATTATATATCAAGATATGATTTTTCTTTAATTAAGAAATTATAAAAATTATTTTATTCCAAAACTTTGAACATTAAAATTATTTAAAATTAAAATTCGATTTACATAATTAAAAAAATTATTATGGGATATTAAAGTTTTGAATTTAAGAATTTATAATTTTTCTTTAAAAATACTATATATATTATTTTGATGATTAATTTTCATGTTGCTATTTGTGATTAATTTTGTTTTACAATTTATTAAAATTTAAGAGTTTCAATATTTTCTATAAGCTAATAATGGGATTCTACATAAAAAATTTGTCTCGAGTTTCTCAGCCCTGAATCCAAAAGCAGAAATGAACACTTTTTTTATTGACCAGAAAAAATGCATAATATAATGAATTAATTAATTAATAATTTAGGATGTTTTCAATTAAAGCTGGCATTTCTTGATTTTAATTTGTTTAGAATTCATCGAGTTTTGAAAGGTTATTTCGGATGGATTTCTTTTGTTTTGTAAGTCAGAGGTGTTTGTGAGATTTATCTCTTTGTGATCATCTTGATTAATATTTCCTTGACTTTGTAAAAAAAGGTACTGAATCGGGAACAATATAATTAAATTTTGTAATGATTATAAAAGCTATTAACGTGAACAAAATTTTGATTACTTTATGTATAACTTTATTACGAGATATATATATATATATTATATGCCGTATTGTATTGTATATATGAGATATAAAAATTATATAAAATTTATATATGATAGGTTTTGAACATTTTGTTTACTCTCAAAATTAAAATCTTTCACATGTGTATATTTTAGGTTACGATTATTTATTATTATTATTATTGAAATAATTATTATAATTATTTATGTGATATCTATAGTATGTATTATTTATTAGTCACCAAAGTGATTAAATTAAAAAATTCTTATAAATGTCAAATTAAATAAAATTCAAATACTCATAATTATATAATGTTATAAATAAAATGACAAGATTATTTGTTGATTCAGGTTGACTGCAAGCATACAGATTGTACAAGTAATAATAGAGGTTCTAAACTTTGATGTTGATCCATCGAGGACTAGGTAAAGAAATCCTTAACTTAAGTATCTATTATCACCATACACTTATTAAAGTTAACTCGATCATAAAGTAGAAATAAAAACTAACTAATACAAAAATAAAATTGAATGGAGCATCAACATATAAACTAAGTAAAATGAGAAAGTGTACTAAAACAATAGGTAAAATAGGTGCTATAAACTAAACATGAATTGAGATATAATTCTAAACCAAGAATGAAAAACAATTAGTAAAAATTAAAACACAAACATTAACTAAAACATTGTAACCAAATTAACTAATTATAACTAACTATAACTAACTACTCAACCAACAAATCAACTTCTAATAAAAGTAACTACTAAAAATACTCAAGGATTTATCTAAGCAAACTGAAATTTAACAAAAACAGTAGGTTGACTCTAGTAAAAATGAAATTCAAGTGAAAATTAACCACAAGAACACAAAATCTCGTTGATCAAGTAACAATCGAACATGAGGTGCATTATTAAGAAAGTTGGAATTCGACAATTGAACCTAAGTCTAATGTGCTGTAATTTTTATGAATTCAAACTTAAAATTGCCAAAACAAGGCATGACCTAAATGAGATACTAATTTGAAGTGAAAAGGTTGAATCAAAATTGCAAAATTCAAGTTTAAAGTTGAAAACTGAAAGTTAGAGAAAATCTGGAAACCAAACCTTTTATTGAAATTCTAAATCTAAATTGCATGAACTCGAATGAAAACAAACTGGAAATTGTAAGAACATGAAGAGAACTACATGAGAACTTGAATTAAGGAACAAAAATTGAATAGAATTTGCAAGAATTAACAAAGAAAAAAAAAACTTGCATTGAGTTGTTGAATGTAACTACTGAGTCAACAAAAGAAAATTTAGATCTAGAATTTTCTAGAAATATTGAACTGGAAATGAGCTAAGGCATGATTCATCAACAAGTTTTCCACAAAATTCACGAAGAAAATTGCATCACATGAGAGGAAATTCAGCTCAAACTGTACACAAATATGGAAAAATAGAGCATGTGCAAAGAAATCTATCCAAACAGAAAGTAAATTCATGAAAATAAATGCAATTAATTAAAAACTAACAAGTTAACATGTAAATCTAAGAGTGTAAAGTGGAAGAAATGTAAACCAAATGCCTAGATGGAGAGTAGATCCCTTGTAATGCTCTCAAATATGTAAAGCTCTTCTTTGCATCTAGATTTAGTTGTGACTTCAAAACTTGATCTGGAACTCTGCGATTGGAATTTGAAGCTAATTATTTTTCAGAATTATAGATCTATGAATTAGAAATCTAGGAAGAAAAACTTGGCTCAAATCAACCTTGAATTCATTAAGTTTTGATCAAAATATCATGAGAAGGGTAGAACTGCAATTTACAAAACAGTTTTGAAGAACTTGTGAGATTAATGAAAACTAAAGATTAAAACATGAGAATTTGTAAATTTCATTAAGAAAATATGAAAGTATAGTGAAAATGAGTGCAAAAAAGTTAAATTTGCAAAGAAAATCAATCAAAGAAAGTGCCAAATAAGGCTGTTTAGATACTAAGAATATATAAAATGCAAAGAAAAGTAAATGTAGCAACTTAAAGAAAAAAAAACTAAGAATCTAGCCTAAAGTCTCTCCAAATGGCTGGCACCTCACTTCTATTTATAAACAAATAAGAGGTGTCTCAACCCCTAAAATATCTACAAAAATATCTAAGCATGGATATTCTAGAGCCTTCTTTTTTTTCTTTTCTTCTTTTCTATCCTTTGCATGCTTGCTTTCTTCCTTTAGCTTTCCTTTTACTTCAACCTTCATTGTCATGATTTATTGCACTCTAAGAAGTCAAGATTATGACTAATGGGAGACCTCCAATCAGCTAACTCAGCAACTCCTCATGGTCTTTTTTGAATCACCAAAAATGTGACACCAAAATGCATGTAAGCATGAACCTTGCACACATATAGCACTTGCATTTTCTTCTTTCTCTTTGGGGACTAAATGCACAAGCTTTCTCTCCAATTTTTCTTTCAAGCAGGTATAAAAATACTAAAAAGGGTGATAATCCATTATTGAGCTAAGGAAGACAATTCCAAATGAAAATTATGAGAATTGGGACTTAAAATAAGGTTTCATAAAGTTCATATGAGCTTAACAAGTCATAGAAGAAAAAGGTAAGAAAAATCCTCTTAGAAGGCAGTGTAGCACAATAACAGTAGTTGTAACCTTTTTTAGCTTTTACCACCATAAATCAACTAAATTGAGTCCAAATAGATCAAAATTCCTCATTTTCTAAATTTCCACCTACATATAAGACAATTATGCATTTAAGAGTATTTTTGCCAAAATTTTCAAGGATCAAGCTACAAATCAAAAGAAATTGCACTAAAAATGAGTATAAAAATACTAAAATTTTAATGCAATCATTTTCCTCGAATTGATTCTTATTTTGAAATGATAAAATATTGAACTACGTAAGCTTAATTAATATTTTAAAATTGTTTATTTAGCACATG